GTACATCCACTTTAAACACACTGGGTCACAAAGTCTTATCTCTCGCACAAGATGAGCTATCAAGTGGACCATAATATCAAAAAATGATGGAGGAAAGTGCATTTCTAATTGGGAGAGGATCATATAACCTTCATTTTCTAATTCATCTAACTTAGTAGGATCAATGACTTTGCTACAAATGACACTAAAAAACACACAAAGTCTTGTCATAGTACTTCTCACATCAGTTTTCACAATGCCTTGAATAGCAAGTGGAAGTAATTGTTGCATCAACACGTGACAATCATAAGACTTCATTCCCGTTATCTTTAAATCTTGCATTGAAACTAGTTTGCTCAAATTAGAAGAATAATCTTGTGGCACCTTAATGCTATTGACAAAACTACAGAAACTTCTTTTCTCTTCTTTTGATAATGTGTGCATAGCTAAATATAAATAAGTCCTCTTACCATCTCTTTCTTGTGAGTGGAAGAGTTTTCTTATTCTAATTTCGACTAAGTCTTGTCTTGTATTGATTTCATCATTAGTCTTTCCACTTATATGTAAAAATGTACCAACAAGGCTCTCACACATATTCTTCTCCACATGCGTCACATCTAGACTATGCCTCACATCAAGATTTTGCCAATATGGAAAATCAAAAAGATAGATATTTTTTTCCATATGTTCCTCTCACTAGCAGTTTTCTTCTTCTTCTTACCGAAGATCATATTAATTCCCTCCACCCGTTGATAAACTTTTTCTCCAGTTAATGGTATTGGAGCCATTTGATATTCTTGCGAGCCGTTAAATGCCTTCTTCAACCTACGGTAAGGGTCATGCCGACTAAGAAACCTTTTATGACCAAGGTAGATCGTCTTCTTATCATGTTCAAGTTGCATGTAGTGGGTGCTTCTTCACATATCAGACATGCTTTATGCCCCTTAACACTGTTTCTTGACAAATTTCCATATGCTAGAAAGTCATTTATCGTGGTGAAGATCATGGCACGTAAATTGAAGGTCTCTTCTTTATATGCATCAAACACATCAACACTTTCCTCCCATAATTTCTTCAGATCCTTAATCAAAGGTGCCAAATACACATCGATATCGTTTCTCGGCTGTTTTGACCCTGAGATCATCAAAGATAGCATGATATACTTTTTTTTCATACATAACCAAGGAGGCAAGTTATAAATTACGAGAAGCACCGGCCAAGCACTGTGTGTGCTACTAAGATTAACATATAAATTAATTCCGTCCGTACAAAACCCTAACCAAAAGTTTCTTGGCTCGCTACCGAATTGAGAAAATTTTTGATTTATTATTTTCCATTGAGGAGAATCTGCTGGGTGACGAAACTTTCCATCACATATTTTCTCATTAAAATACCATCTCAAGTTCTTTGTTTCTATGGCATTAGCAAATAGACGCTTAAATCGTGATATTATTGGAAGATACCACAGAACCTTCAAAGAAGAACCTTTAGTCATCTCATTATAATCACCATCATCTTTCTTAACTTTGTATCTTGAAGTCTCACATTTAGAGCACTTATTCAACCCTTCATACGCATTTCTGAATAATATACAGACATTAGGACACGCATGTATCTTCTCATATTCTAAACCCATCATCAAACACAAAATTTTTTTTGCCTTTTACATTCGTTTTGGAAGTGAATTCCCTTTTAGAAGAATATCACTTAACAATTCAAGCAATTCCGTGAAGCTAGCATTAGTCCAACTATTTTTTGCCTTCAAGTTCATCAATTTCAACATGGTTGTCAACCTTGTGTAATCATTTTTACACTTTGGATATAAAGGCGTCTTTGCATCACTACACAAAGTTTCAAAAGTGGGAGAGAACTGTGTGGAGGATTTAGACTTTATATTATGAAACATATCCGAAATTCTATCACCAAAGTCTTCATTCACAACTTCATCCTTTCCAGACAGTGTAGTCTTTCTAATTTCTCCATGCCATATCTAATTTGTATACTTTAAATTTATCCCATCACAGATAAGATGCTCTTTTATCTCAGAAATACTTATCAACTATTGTTTAAGCATTTGACACAAGGACAATAGTACAATCCATCTCTTTTACTAGGGGTATTTCTCTGAGCAAATTCAAAAAACCTTTCAACCCCACCCTCATACTATTTGCTAATTCTCTTAGCTTTCATCTAACTATGATCTATTGTTCTACAGAGTCAATAAACATAGTTGTCAATCTCAATTTTAACTCTTTAATTCAAATATTCAAATAATAAAATAATTAAATGTTAGTCAATAAATTAAAATTGACTAATACTTAATTACAAATTAAAGGGAATGTCTCTTTTTTAAAAATAAAAAATTTGATAAAATTTCTCCTTAAATATATAACAAAGGGAAAATTAGAGTGAAAGACCAAGAAAAAGTTATATTTATTATAAAGAATCCTAAAAATTGTAATTATTTAAAACGACCATAAATATATTAAATATATTATAATAAAAAAATAAAATATATAATTACTTTTAAAAATTAGATTAAGTAATTTCTTAAAAATTGGTATATATAGAGAATGAGTGAAAATGTTAATAAAAATATAAAATCAAACGAACATATATAAGTTTTATAAAATAGTTAAACAAAAATTATTTTAATCAAAATTAAAACTATTCTTCATAACATATTTCAATATGCATAAAGTTTTATAAAAATATTAAATTAATTTAATATAATTTCTTTTCAAACACTTGTTTCTAATTTAAAGTTATAGAAAAAAATAAAAATAGATTTGTATATAAAATTTAGCTTTTTGTAAAAATAAATTAAAACATATATATACCTAAAGAAGTAAATTTTTGTAAAAATATTATTCCCTTTAGGTCCTCTATTCTAATTTTGCCTATAACAAATCTCAAATTATTTAAAAAATAAACAAATCAATCAATCAACCAAACCAACTTACAATGTAATAAACAAATTAAAGACAGGATAAATTTGAAGAAATATAACAAATAAAACAAAAATAAAAATTCAATTTCAAATCAATTCAACGAATAAAGATTTTTAAAGCTAAAACTTCTGAATCCAAAATAGGAACACAAATGATATCCATTTGCAATGAAATTTTAAATAACACTTTATCATCAATTAAAGTTCAAAACGAAAAAAATTCACAAAACACTGAACAGATTATTTATTACTAAATTCCCAAGTTTATTACAAAAAAATTACCAAAAATTCGAAATAAATATAAAAAAATTATAAAAAATAAAAAAGTTTAAAACTAATCAACTTCAAACATTTAAACAGGTTTCTAATACCATATATTGGAAGGAATTGAGGTTTTCTCACACTAAATGCTGCCACCAATCAACACCTCAAGCACATAAAAAACGCAAAATCAACAATGCAAGCCAACCACAATATAAAACTAACAAACCCATTAGAAATACAACAGATTTTTATGGTGAAAACATCCCAAGAAAACCAAGAAAAATTTTTAAAAAATGAAAGAAGAGGATACTCACTCAATAGAGGCGATTCAAATGCGAAAAGATAGGCGTTGAAATAGTGGTGGATGGCGGCAAGATACTACAAGCTAAATGGAGGGGTTTAAACAGTGGGAAAGGGACGGGTAATGGCCGATAATGAAAGTTCATTGGTGGTGGGACAGAGGGGGGCCACAGCGCACTGATACAAAACTATGAAAATGAGTCAAACTGAACCCTATTGTGGCTTATTTTAAAACTTCCCATGGCGGTTTTCTTAATAACAGTTGTGAAAAATCAATCGTCAGGCCACTTATTTACAAAAGTGCCACAGCTTTTTTTTTTCACGGTGTTTTTTTTCTTAACCGCCATTATTTTGCGACGTTAAATGTCTTTTTTCTAGTAGTGTGTGCACAAGTAATCCACATGGCAAAATTTTATTGAGTGTTTGGAACTAATGGACCTAATTAATTCAATCTGCTCCTCCTAACAAACTTTTTGAAACACAGAAAATATATAGGCTCAGAATATCCCTAAAAAAGACATCATATAACCCATAAAAAAAACTTATAAATAGTAAACAACACAATCATAAAAATTATATTATATTAATAATAAGTAAAATAAACTTATAAAAGTAGAAAAATGATATATTAGGACGAGATATCCTTGTCTTATATCTCAAGACATTTTTGTCCCATTCTACTTTTGTTCTGTCCCAAAAACTTTTGAACTGGGATCAAGACAGGAGGCCAGCTATTAGGATGAAACACAAGTGGATACCCCTACAATTAAATATAAAAATTAAAAAAAAAAAAAGAGGGGTGGTATGGAAATATAAGGGATAATATGATAAAATAGATAACATTCAAAAATCTCAAATTAGGTACTTGACAATTAAATTATGCAGTTTTAAAAAATTAAAATTAGTTAAAAATAATAAACATTTAAAAAATAATTTTTTTCAAGCGTGTCAACTTGCTGACGTTCTAATTAATGCAATATGTAAAATTAATTAGGGACAAAAATAGTAAAAACGTATTAATTGTCCATACAACTACATTGGGATTTTATTAAAAAATTAAAACAATTCAAATCAGGCTCTTATAAAAAAAAAAAGTCTAACAATAAAGTACTACTCTTCCTGTTCTAAATATAAAACTCTTTTTGTAGTGCTCTAAATATAAGATCTTTCTTATAGTGTAATTTATACTAAAAAAAATCTTATATTTAAGATCAGAGAGAGTATTATATTTTTCTTTATTTCATTCCTTTATATTTCCTTCCATTGAATGAGTCCAATCCTCTTATACAGGCTGGCTTCATAGACTTCATGCATCGGGATGTCCATGTCATTGTTTGCCCCAAAAGCAAAAAAGTCCAACTTATTTTTGGGAATAGAAATACATATAGTACAAAGAAGTCTACTTCGTTTGCTTAGGCAGAGAAAAATGACAGATAATAATATTATATGAAAAGGATTAAATTCAACCAGACACTTGTATATATACGCCAATCCCAGAATAGTTTCAAGCAAAGGAGGATTAACAATGGAAGAGCGGCTAAACAGAAAACCCCATTGTTTGGTTTTGGTTTTTCCAACTCAAGGCCATGTCAACCCTATGCTTCAACTGTCAAAGCGTTTGGTTCATAAAGGTGTGAGAGTCACACTAGTCGCCTCCCGCTTCCTCTGCAACACCTTGCAGTTCAAATCAACCTCCATAGCTCTCGAAAGCATCTCCGACGGCTTTGACGACGGAGGACTAGCCGCCGCCGCAAGTGACAAAGCTTACGTCGATCGTTTCTGGGACGTAGGCTCAAAGACTTTTGAAGAACTTCTAGAGAAGCTTACGAGTTCTGGGGATTCAATTGACTGTGTTGTGTATGATTCCTTCATACCTTGGGCTCTTGAAGTGACCAAGAAGTTTGGGATTATGGGAGCTGTGTTTTTCACTCAATCTTGTGCAGTGAACAGTATATATTATCATGTTTATCATCGAAACTTGAAGATTCCTGCGACTGATGATGATAAGTCTGAGATTTTACTTCCAGCGTTGCCTCCACTTGCTTCTTGTGACTTGCCGTCCTTCCTGTATGTTTTGGGGCCTTATCCAGCTTTTACGGACATGGTTGTGAATCAGTTCTCTAATATTGAGAAAGCAGATTGGGTGCTCTGTAATTCCTTCTATGAGCTTGAACCTCAGGTCAGTAATATACGTGTTAATATTTAATTATTCTACCAATCATACTTTCTTTATTGTTTTCTTTTCCAAGTTAGAAATCCCATATTTGCTGCTTACTGTTATCCTTAATACTATTCCCTGTCCTGATATAAAATCTGCTTAATTTATTTAAATAAATTAAATAAATTAATTTAATTAGTTATTTGTAAAATATTAAGATAACCTTTTAAAATAAAATTCTTCTGTTTAAGACCAGATAGTAAAAGCACTTCCATATATATATATATATATATATATTGTGAAGGAATTCCATCTTGTTGAATTAATATTTCTTAGTTCATAAATTGTCCCATATACTATAAAAGAGGGGTGTGGAAAGTCGTTACTTGAATGTACACAGTCTGTTAGATTTGGTTGAAAATCATTGTTTAAACAATATAATAAGCAGTATTGCTTCGTGTTCTAAATATAAAATTTAACTCCTAATGCCATAAATTAGACCTTCTATATAAAAAAATAATACTTTTCTGATTCTTAATATAAGACCTATTTAACTAATTTGATTAGATTAAAGAAGTTAGGTAAGTTAGTTAATTATAAAAAATATGACATATTTTTCCTAAAACACCACAATCATGTTTCTTAATACCTCCTTTCCCTCTTTTACTTGATTATAGTTGAGGGAGTATCCATAGGAATAATTTAGAGAAAATTTATAAATATAAGAAATGAGTCTTATATTTAAGATCAAAATCAATTCAATAATAGGATCCTATATTGTGAATAGGTTACTAATGAACAGTTCTTTCAACACTCTGCATAATAGAAAACCGGAAGTGTGGGGTCCACATCGAGGGGCTTTATTCAAGTCTCGGTATAGTGGTGGAATAGTACGCTAACAAACAAAGACATCTTACAGATATTATAGATGTCGTGTCATGTCACTGGAGCAGCTTATCTCCACTGCCTCGTTCGGTCCGCTGCCATCCTTTATCCAAGGTGACGCGATTTTACTTTTTAGAGAGTAAATGGTTTTAGGAACACCAACTATCTTAAAGCATTTTAAATACTTTTTACTAGCACCTGCTATCTTAAAATAATTTGATACAGCATTTTAAAATATTCTTTTAACAATACCTAATATCTTAAAATAATTTTTGACATGATAGTACTCAGTTTTTTAAAATATGTTTTAATACATTTATCACCTTAAAATATTTTAAAAAAAATACCCAATATCTTAAAATAATTTTTGATACATTTAGTATTATAAGAATATTTCTCTAGTAATACCCAATATCTTAAATATTTTTAGTCCACTAAACACCCTAAAGTATTTTTATCAATACCATCTGATATCCTAAATTATTTTTCTTAGTAGCCACAATCACTTTAAATTTAGGACACCAATTGCTTTTCCAAAAATATTTTAAGGACAGTCAAAAATTATTTTAAAAATACTAAATGTTATTAAAAAAATAATTTAAAATATTTATTTTAAATATTACATACTACTAAAAAATATTTCAAGATACTAAATATTTTTTTTTAAAAAAAATATTCAAAGCTCTTGCATTTTACACCCAAAACGGCATTATTATGGATAAAGGAAGGCAGCGAACCGAATGGGGAAGGAGAGAGAAGCTGCTCAAGTGCCCTGGTCATGTCATATATGTATGATCAAACTCTTCTTTTCTAATACAAACAAAAATAGTATTTTCAGTTTTTAATATAAAATTTAATTAACAGAGAGGTTAAAAAAATTAATACATTATTTAATTATGACATATTATATTTCTTTTTTAAAATATTTATGCAGATCATTATGTTATATATCAATTAATTAATATGAAAAATTAATTTAAAAAATATTAATATAAATAATTTAAAATAATTTAGTAACTTTTTTAATATTTTTAAATTAATCAATTCGGCTTGTATTAATAACAGGATTAGACTTTTTAGCCTTATGAGTACGAATGTTCAACCAAATTTGGCTGACTGAAGGATCAGCATCCATTTAAAAGTTGAAAATAAGTACAAGGGGATTATATAAGAATATCTCATTTACCAAGACACAAATTAGTATCTAATTAGTCATGCACTCCTAATCCCTAAATCATGTACCTACTTAAATTATATTTTATTCTTTTAGCTTCCTTGCGGTAGATAACGTAACATTTGCTGGTCAAAAAAAGAAAACGTAACATTTAAACTTAAATTATGCGCATATCAACCCCTGATCCTTAAAATCATGAACAAAAAAAATCCTGCTTATTATATTCTTTGTGAAATAACAAGGAAAAAAACGTCATGGGAATTATTTTTATTGGGATCAAATTAAATAATCTACAAGTACGTAATATCTCAAAAAAAAAATGATACTGCCTCTTATGCTTAATTTAAGAACAAATTGACTAATTTGAGTAGATTAAGAAAATTAGTTAAGATAGTTATTTGTAATAAATAGGTATTGTCTTTTCTAAAATACCCTTGGTAATTAAGTGTCATTTGATGAAACATTTAACATGTACAACTACTACAAGAATTACCTTAGAAAAAATGGATAAATATGAAAGACAAAATGGATTAGAGTCTTATATTTAGATTTAGGATCAAATTAAGGGTCAAACTAGTTCTTATATTAAGAAATGGAGGTATTATATAATAGCCCATTATTCACGTCACGCTTACTTTGCTCTTGCCACATGAGCTGGTTATATTTTTCTGTTGCTTTCATATGTTGAACTTGTCAACGAAATTAATACCTAAAACATTTTTCGTTATTTCCATTGTCGAACTTGGAAAAGACTGATTGGCAAGCAAAAATCTTCTCACTTTTTGCCACATGAGAACAGAAGTATATTCAATGAGTAAATTATCATACTTGAAATTAAAGCTCTTCACATACATTTTTGGCACATCCAAGGTGGCTGATTGGCAAGCAAAAATCTTCCCGCTGAAGACAATAGGTCCAACCATACCATCAATGTTCTTAGACAAGAGACTCAAAGATGACGACGCCTATGGTTTCAGCTTTTACAATGAGGAAGACGAAGCTTGCATGAACTGGTTAAGCGACAAGCCAAGCGGGTCTGTCGTTTATGTCTCATTTGGAAGTTTAGTAGCTCTTGACAGTGACCAAATGGAGGAGATAGCTTGGGGTTTGAACGACAGTGTAAGTTACTTCTTATGGGTAGTAAAAGAATCAGAGAAACCTAAGCTTCCTAAGGACTTCTTGAAGATTTCTCAGAAAAAGGGCTTGGTGGTCACATGGTGTACTCAATTACAAGTGCTGGATCATGAAGCTGTGGGCTGCTTTCTGACACACTGTGGATGGAACTCAACAGTGGAAGCTTTGAGCTTAGGGGTTCCAATGGTGGCAGTTCCTCAGTGGACAGACCAACCCACAGATGCAAAGTACATAAAGGATGTGTGGAAGATTGGAGTGAAAGCTGAAGCGGATGAGAAAGGAGTTGTGAGAAGAGCGACAGTGAAGAAATGTATAGAGGAAGTAATGCAGAGTGAAAGAGGAAAAGAGATGAAGAAGAATGCCATGAAATGGAAGGGTGTTGCAGCAAAGGCTTGTGATGAGGGTGGAAGTACTGATAAGAATATTGATGACTTTGTAGCAAGTCTTGCTGCAGCTTCTACCAAATGCCAATGAGATAGAAGAAATAAGTATATAGAATGATTTATTCTTGAATCATATCCGCTGCTACATTCACAAAAATAAATGTGTGTTGTATATTTGATTTGAAAACTGATTGTGAGAAAAGAATAAAACGCAAAAAAGACGTGAATGCATGTATTTCTCTCTGTGATTGCATCTATGTTACCCATATTTTGTTTGTACTTTATATGGGTTATGCTCATTTCAATTGATTAAAGTGCAAATGTAATGCTGAATACTCATATTAGTATATGTTTTTTACTTGGATTTTATGTGAATGATGAGTAATGCTAATGGCATAAGTAATATAATATAATATAAATATAAACTATACAAAAGATAAGTGGCAGCATATTAATTAAAAGTTTTTATGGTGTTGAAGTATAAATAATTAGAGACACTGGAAAGTTTCAAGGGCTAGAATAAAAGAGAATTAGCACTGGAAAGTTTTTAATATAAGAGCCAGTTTATCATTCAATTTAGTCTTAAATATATGACTTCAATCCACTTTATCTCTCATATTTATCTATTTATTTTTCAAGGCAGTCCTTGTTAATAGTTGTACATGTTAAATGTTTCACCAAATAGTAGTTTTAGCTAATACACATGATTAGCAAGGATATTTTAAAAAAAGATAATACTTATTTATTACAAATAATTAATTTACCTAATTTTCTTAATTTATTCAAATTAGTCAACTAGCTCTTATATCATAAATTGAAGGTAGTATTAACTTCAATATAAAATAATAGACATGTCTTGCAAGTTTGATTTATTTTCTTTGAAAAATATTAAATAAAAATACAAAAACTACACAGTTTCTTGACGTCAAGATGTCATAATTCAAGTATGTGTGGGCTGCTTCTGTCTCTCACTGTCATGTTCTCGTAGTCGTATACGGCATTAGTTTCTAATTCAAGGCAATCCCTTACTACCTCTTTCAATCCATTAAAATGGTCCCTCCCTTTATATACACAGACAAATTAAAGGACTAAGACATGAATCGCATCTTCTGCGCTTTTTACACAGAGAAAAAAAAAATCTGTTATAATAATCATAATCAAACAAATTTGAAAATGAACTTAACCTTTCATCAAACAAAAAACAAAAAACAAAAAACAAAAGAAAAGAAAATAAACTTAACCACTAAAAATATTCATAATCATAAGAAGATGATGCTTACAAAAATTTATATGCAGCCAACACCCGTGTAGTGTAGTGGAGGATTGTCTCATCTTTCCTTCCCATCTTCTTCCCTTTTTTTTCCTTTTTTTCAACCATAAAACTAACATTTAAACGGTTTAGATTCGATATTTTTATAGAATATTTTTTTTTTATTTTTCTATTACAGTTTTAAATTATTTAATCAAATTTTACCAATTTTAATTTGACTATTTATTTTTCTTTCTATAATTTAACATTTTGACTATAATTTCATAAAAACTAAAATATGAACCATTTAAATATTAATTTAACTAAAATATGAACCATTTCAATATTAATGGTTAGAAAATAAAATAAGGAGAGAATCCTTACGATCAAAGGAACTATTTTGCACTTAGGCTCAAAATTATTTAAATTTGAATTATTTCTCTAGTCTTAGGCGCCATTTGGTTCATTGCCACGCAAGTGTGCAATAGTTATCCTCATCGCAATGCATAGATGGTCTGTTTGATTGGACTTAATGATGGGAAAAAATATTGCACTGATAATAAAAATTGCATTTTTTTTGGTAATTTTTATTCATAGGGCCCCCTTTGAATACACATTACAGGTACGCAATCCTTTATAAAATGTTTATTTTGTCCTCACTAACCTAGGTAAAAAGACAATATTTACCCTCAAAATAATAAATTGTGAATCACCATCAAAAGCCCTACTACGCAGAAGTTTCACAATGAGGTTGATAACCATTTTCCCAATAGTTCTAATTTCAAAGGATTTCATCAGAAGTTGATAAATTCCTTTTTTTTTCTTTTCACGGACGAACAAAAGCTGATAGCTCGTCACTATCCAAACTTCATATGAATGATACAAAAAGCCTCTCAAGTTGCAGAAATGAAAGAATAGGAAATCAAAGACTTGGAAAATAAAAATAGAGCAAAGTAGCAAGAAGAAATAACATAGGGAAAAAATCCATAAAGCAACAACTTTGAATTTGATAATGATGAAATATAAAGATGCTTATTATCTTAACGAAGAGAAAAGATCTATAAAGTGAGAACCCACAAAGAACAAGGACAGACCCACAAAGAACAAGGGCAGACCATTAATTCCATTAGAAAACTGTCCTCGACTGAGAGAGGAATGATGGAACCAATAAGGTTGGAACCTTCAATATTGTGTTCTATTGCTAGTCAAGCAACTACAAACACCCTTACTACAACACCAAGTTACAAAGATTAATTTCTCAACATCATTTACATAACGCGTAATTAGATTCCATAATTCTCATCTTGCAATCATCAACATTTTAATAAAAGCATATCCAAATAAACTTCATTCTCTCATGTCTAAACCAAACAAAATCTCCAGATCTCATTCTTCATTCACACAATCCATCAAACACCTTGTAAGCATTCAACTTGACTGAACAATCAAACATAATCCACAACTTGGCAGCCATCATCATTGCTAATATGCATACACTAGTATATATATTTCAGTATCCACATTCAAATAAACATCATCTAATCCATCATACCATAATACTACCTCCAGTTCTTAATATAAGAACTCATTTGACTTTTATTTTGGTTCTAAATATAATACCACAATCCGCCTTGTCTCTTATATTTATTTATTTATTTCCCAATGTAGTTCTTATAATAATAATAGTTCTAGCCAATACACTTAATTAGTAAGAATGTTTTAGGAAAAACGACACTTATTTATTACAAATAACAAACTTAACTAATTTTCTTAATCTACTCAAATTAGTTAACTAACTCTTATATTAAGGATCAGAGGTAGTATATCAAAATTCAATTCAATACACCCCCACCATCAAAGCAACACCAAACTCAAAATAATACTCTTTCCATTTTTTATTATAAAAGACATTTGATGTGCATGGCATGTTTCTATATATATATAAGAGATACTTGAAAGTTATCTCTAATTTTTTGTGCTGATTTTTCTCCCTATTTATTTGTCATATTATTATTATTATTAATGTATTTAATGTTACTCCATTTTCTTTACCCAAAAAAAAAATGTTACTCCACTGTGAGCCCAAAGCACGATGAAGATAGAGATGTTATTTTGAATATTGTGAGCAATGAAACCAAACCCGTGGACTTGGAGAATGGCAGGAGACATCATCATCCCATCTTCACTCTCTCTTTCCATAGCCTAGGAACGTCTTTTTTTTCTAGGAAAAATTTCGTTTAAAAACCACTGTAGTAAATTAATGTCAGTCAATTCCCAAAATATTTAAAAATTTTAGTCAACCCCTTAGACCAAAATGAAATTAAAATTCAAGGGAAAAATTATAATATTACCCCTCCTTTTTAAAAAAAATAAATATTAATAGTCACAGGAAGTCGGAGCTCCAGTGGCTAGAGGATTTTTTTATAAAAAAATAAGGTGGCTAGGGAGGTTTAAACCCATGACCCCTTACATACCAAAAATAATGTAACCACCAAACCAACCAAACTATTTAATTATATAATGCAAAGAAAAATATATATAACAGGACAAATACAAGTGCCCAAATGTAAATAAACAAGTGAACTTCGTTAAATTTGTAAGTAAAATTCAGCAATTCACAACAAAAATTTGGCGATTTACATAAAATGCAAGTATTTATATGTGAATGAACAAGTAAAATTCGAAGATTTACATAAAAAATTTATGAATTTATAACCTAAATTCAGCGATTTATAAGAAATATAAGGGAATTCGCAATTCCAAACATAAGTGTTTGAGTGTGAATGAATAAGTAAAATTCATCAATTTACAACTCAAATTCAGAGATTTATAGGAAGCATAAATATTACAAAACTTATAAGAGAGTTCACAACCTCAAAAGTTTTGCTAATTAAGACACCGGAGCTTATATTCATGAAGGCTTCATTTGGGTCGTGAATTCTATTATGCTCCTTAGACGCATTGTGCATGAATTTAATTTGTGCCTCAAATATCTAGATTTATTTCTTTTTAATTTGTGAATTTATTCATTATGATCTGTTAAATATATAGAAGTTATGAGTTAATTATCAAATGCTTTGAAATATATATGTGTATGTGGAGCCAGAAGAAATGAAGACTTTACGTGGAGAATAGTATTATTGACAATATGTTATCCATGTAACATTTATTTATATTGCAAACCATATTTTAATATCTTATTCGTTGTGAAAAATTATAATATAATTACATTACAATGTATCTGATGAACACAAAATGGGTAAAAGAGCTAACTTAATTGAGATCATTAGCATTATGAAGAAACATAAATTAAATACTGGCAATATGTAATTAATTCTAATACAACATTACATATTCTTTTTTATTCAACCTAGCCTTAATTAGCAAAACTAAGAAGATGTTGGTCTTCACTTAATGTCGCCGAAAGCAATGAAGCCTCCCTGAATAGAAGCTCAGATGCCTTAATTAGCAAAATTTTTGAGGTTGTGAATTCTCTTATAAGTTTTTTAATGTTTATATTTCCTGTGAATCTTTGAATTTGAGTTGTAAATCGCTGAATTTTTGTTGTAAATTATTGAATTTTACTTATTCATTCACACTCAAAGACTTGCATTTGGTGTTGCAAATTCCCTTATATTTCCTGTAAATAGCTGAATTTGGCTTATAAATCTATGAATTTTTGTTTAAATCATCAAATTTCACTTGCTCGTTCAAACCTAAACACTTGCATTTGGGGGTTATGAATTTTATTGTAAATCGTCAAATTTTTGCTGTGAATCACTAAATTTCCCTTGCAAATGTAACAAATTTTACTTGTTTATTTATACTTGGACACTTGCATTTGCTTTGTTATATATATATTTTCTTTGCATTATATGATTAATTGGCTTGGTTGGCTTGGTGGTCACATTATTTTTAGTGTGCCAAGGGGTCATAGGTTCAAACCCTCCTTGGCCACCTTTTTTTTAAAAAAGAAAAAAGAAAAATCCTCTGGCCACTGAAGCTTTGATCTCTAGCACTAGCCACTTGAGCGCCGACAGTTAGACCTCTGACCTCTGGTGGCCAAACCTCTGAAGACCATTAATA